AACAGAGAGGGGCAGCAGAAGGTAGGAAAAGAGATTGAATCTTTATCGACGTCCGAGGTTAGGCAGTATATTTTTCAGGAACTGAACGGATAATCGTCATTGTTATTATTTTGAGAAATCGTATTGAAAGGAGAATGGAACTGTGTTACAAAACATGTATCCCTCAGACATATTTCTCTTTCCTAGTCGATATGGTTCTTTTACGTTTTCGGTGTTTTTCTGTCTTCGTAAACTATTATTTTCGGGTTTCCTTCCATTTAAAGGAGATTTTGTACGTGGCCAAAACAAAAAGACAAAACACCGTGACTGAGCTCCTTTAAGCTCCGCGTAATAGTAGAGATATCCCTTTTCCCTCGAATTAACCCACGAAATCTGCAGTGTTCTCTGGAAAGAAGTGATCTTTTTATACCTTCCAAATCAACCACGTTTTCTAATAGGAGGAGAACACGTCACGTGTCAGGGGTCAAAACTCACTGATTCCCCAGGGAAACAAGAACTTGAACTTTCGACTCGCACGTGATCAGGTCGTGCAACTTAAAACCGCGGCAAATTTGTGCGCAGTTTAATTTGGTCTATCTTTGAGGTAATGACTGGCCAGTGGCGGATCCAGACTTTGACCTAAGGGGAGGACCCGCATTTCTTGTTGCTTGCCCTGCCGGCTTTTCTTCCTTCTGCGATTTTGTTTTGTTGTTGTTGTTGTTGTTGTTGTTGTTGTTGTTGTTGTTTTTTCGGGGGCACAGACTCACTCACCCAACTCACTGTTTCCCTTGGAGCCAGTCAAATAAGTGCTTTGTGTTCACTCCTTCCACGAAGCCCCAGGGAAGTCATCCATAGTAATTGTCATTTTAGAGAAGAATTTGCAGCGTTGATTAATAAGCAAAAGCATTTTAGGACGAACCGACAGCCAAATTTGTCAAATTTGAATTTAGACATCTGGTTAATATCCAAAAGAGGTATTACTCTAAGATGGCTGTTTAAAGGTTTCGTGAACTTAAAGAGTGAGGGATCTTAATCATTCGCTCGACTCAACAAAAAAAGATTTTATTTACCCTTGCTCTGTGATTTTCTCTCTTCAAGAAGAGGCTTAGAGCTACATTGAATTTTCGTCCGGTTGTTATTTCTTTTTTATTTAAACTTGTCTTTTTTTTAGCAGAACGTTGTATCTTAACACGTTCATATAACAAAAAGTTAGGGTGCCTTAAAAAATATGGGTGTTTTGACAGGTTATTAAGCGGTTGCTACGGTAACAACTCAAAAGAACCAAAAAACCTATCCAGCAAGTTTTTAAGACATTAATAGCATAAAGGCTTGCCTTCAAAAAAGATGGTCAGTAGTTGTATAATTAAGAGTATTTTCACTGTTAACCATCTGTATCAACATTCTAACATGGCACCGAGGCTTTCTATCAAACTTTTATACTTAACAATTACGGCGATGGAGGTGAATAGTACTTTTTTAATCACCTCTAATTTAACCAATCAGTAAGGAAAGGGCTATTTATTTGCTTGGTATACACTAATTGCACTTGTTTCTTTTATTTAAATTTCCAGACGAAGGAAACTTAAGAAATTTGCAATTTTGGCCAGAAAGCCTCGAGGCCATGTTAGAATTTTTGTCTATTGAACAAACATGGGCTTTTGCTAATTGGAAGCACAACTGTCGTAGGTTGCATGCTTAATTGAAACCATGAAGCGTACAGATACAAGAAGGATTATTATTGCTTCCAGTGTTGCATTTTTCCTCTTCGCTTTCATTTTTCTGTCATACCGGATTTCAAAACAGACATTACAGACACTGGATGAAACCGCTGCAGGTATGAAAACGGTACATCTATATAGATCGATAAGCCGTTGTACGCCTCATGTAAATTTCTATTACCTGGAAAGTTAAGTTCTAATCAACAATGATTTAGATAAACATATACAGGCAAAAACTAACGATAGACAAATCCGACGTTTCGGCGACATCTTGGCGCCATTGTCAAGGGAAA